ATTCATGTTGCAAGAACGACCTAGTTTGACTGAACTCTTGCGTTTCTAGAAAGATTTTACCATCGCGTAACGCTGTGACAAAAAAGGACCCTTTTTCTCTAGAGCTGCTTATGAAACTCTAATTTTTTGACAAATTCTTTCTTTAAATGAAACGCTTATGGTGCCAGTTTTGTAGAGAATTGAATGAGCTTTCAAGCAGTAAAAAAATATTTTTTCTAAACTATTTTTGCTTAGATAAAAAATGCAAAAAACAAACGTAACGCTGTGACATGTTTTTTTGTCGACCAAATTTGAAGCACTTAACATGCTTAAAAATATTTAATGTTCACATATATTGATCACTGCCGTACATATATCGTTCTGTAAAAATATCAAGTTGCTACATCGAAATGGGAGTTCAATAATTGTACAGTAAGTTAGAAACTGTACAAGAGGTTAGAAGTTGCTCTGAGGAATGAGAGTAAAAACTGAATAGACCATTTTGTAGAGAATCAAATTCTGCATCGAATGGTATATTACTCTGCATTTTAGTTTTAAATTTCTTGGTTAGAAAATTGAAAATACGATTTTTGAAAACTTTAAAACCCGGTTTTCAATGCCAAAACTCAATTAGTTTTAAGAAAAGTATCCAAATTCATAATCAGTGTAAAAAACTGTACCATAAAATATGCTTGGATGTGTCCATATCGGAAAAAAATTTTTTTAACTTGGGCAGCGAAGTAGCGCGTTACGTGGACAAGCCGATTTATGGTATTGAATGTATGAATCTTCATATATGGTACCAAGTAGATGCATTTATTGTCTTATTTTTCTCATTGAACAATCTAAATATCTTATTTTTTGTTCAATAGTATACACATAAACATGAATGTTGACAGAATTACATTCAGAAAAAAGTATCTTCATATGTTCATTAGATATTTAATGTTCTTGGTTTTTGGTAATAATATATATTACTTTGATAAACATTTAGTTATAATTATCGAAAAATTAATTTTGAAATAAAAATCTTTCCTAGAAACATGTTTTGATAAAGAAATTGCTAATAGAACTAGTGTACAATTTATTGTCATGAGAACATATATTGATTGTGATTTTTCGAAATGACAATATCTATGTTACTAATCTTAGTAATTACAAAGTCAATCCTGTTATTCCAGGTAAATGTTTTGCATCATTCCAAGCATATGTCAAAGAGATATGTTTTTTTTTTGACCAATTATGATACTCAATGAATAATAATTATTTAAGCTCTATATTTTGTCAGGAACTAGACTTCTTCAAATGTTTCTTACAATGGTATGATTAAGTATACTTCTTATGATACGTATCTCTATTATGAAGTTTGCGCTGACAAATTGACATAATTAAGAGTCGACCAGCTCTCAATTCAAACTTGAGGTCAAATAAATGAAAGAAATACCGGGTGGCCCAAAAGTAAGGAAAAATAATGGGTATCTAATAATAACTGATGAAAAACTGTTAATGATATTTTTCATACTTTTTATTGATGTAAAGAGCTGAAATTTTTATTACATATGTATCTAATTAACACCTTTTATTTCTGAAAGTTTTAGCTCTCTATATCAATAAAAAGTATGAAAAATATTATTAATAGTTTTTCATCAGTTATTATGGGATACGTATTATTTTTTCTTACTTTTGGGCCACCCGGTATTTAAGGAGATCAGATAGCATCATAAAATCTTTTCAAACAGTTTCGTTGATAGGAACTGATCTCTTTCAATAGTTCACTTCTTGAAACAGACTTGTCCGAAAAATTTTGTTTTGTTTTCGGAACGACATTTCAGTAACAGAACAAAGATTTTTCTTTCTACTCGGGAGTGCTATTCCTGAAAAGAGGACAACATTTTCTTAAATCTGGAAAAATCTCTCTCAAAAATAGAATAAAAACTCTTGGGACAGATTAGAAAACGTTTTCAAAAATTTCCCAAATCTGAATTTAGACGTAAACTTGTCGATCTCTAGACACAATATGATGTTAAAAATAAAGAAAATAAAATTTTATTAATAATAATTCTATCAGAAACTATACATTATATATTGTCATGTGTATCAGTAAATAGGACATCTACGATTACATATTACATTATTTCTAATTGTCTAGCCAAGGATTGTACGTTGATGAATTATTTCTATTTCCTAAATTTCCAAGGCTGAGGTATTATATAAAAAATTACGTATGAGTTTAAATATATATACGAAAATTTTATAAGAAGTACATATGATCAAATAATTGTAAGAAAAAAATTGAATAGACCTCAAATAAAAACAAATGATCATTTTTCAATAAATACTATAACTAGAAAACAAAATCATATTTATTGGATATATGATTATGGAAGTTTAAAGCATTTACTCGATACATTCCTGTTGACTGATTCACTCTCATATTGTGCAAAAGTTTGAATTCGTATATAGCTGTACTCATATTCCGGATACGATGTTAGTTTTTGTCAAAAGTTATGTGTGAAGTCAAATAACAACGTAACATCAATTATTTATAATATATTTCTGGATTCTATTAAAGTTTAAATGGACGTGTAATCCTGCTAGGCATTATTAAGAAAAATCTAAAATATGATTTCTCATATAAATGATTATAGTTTATCTATTTTTGACCAATACCTATAAAACAAAATCAAAATCGTAGCAAGATTTTCAAAGTAGAAATCCCAGTAATTCTAATATCAAAAGTAAGAAAAATAAAATTTTTCTGTGTATTACTTGATGCTACAAACTTCGACTAATATTTCAGCGTTGTTACTGTTCAAAAAATATATCTAGACATAAGAGCTGTGATACCGTCTTTCGGCATCACTACATTTTGCATTCATGAAAAATACGAAACGATTATGGCTAAAGCTAGACTTAGAATTATGCAATATTGACTTTTTCCAGTCATAAGCAGTTACGATGAGATCGAGTCAATCTTTTAGATTCTTACCTAGAACAGTTCAAAGTCAAAAATTCATGAATTATTCAAACAAATCAACTTATAGAAACTAGAGTGTTTCAAAATTTCTCAAGGTGAGAATAAAGATGAAACTGTTCGACCTGTATGAAAACAAAAAAAAACCAAGAAAAACAATTAAACTTGAAAAAATAATGAATGCGTATCATGAAGAATTCATTTAGTTGCATTAACTTATTAGAAGAAATAAAAATCTATAAATGAGACAAACTCATTTTGTTTCTTTGGCTGATTAAATTATTTATTTTGATCTGTTATATCCATTAATGTATGTTATTTAATTATAACAATGTAAGATTAGAATTGTTTCAATTTACTGAAGTCAACTATATTCCAATATTGTACAATAATTACTCATTGTGTCTGATGCCTTTATTACCTATTAAAAAATCCGAACATTTTTATTGAAAATAAATATAGAACTAATCATCGAAATTATCAATATAAAAGGACAAATAGTGTAAAAAACTTTTTAAGTCGATCCTCTCCCTCAAAAGAAAATCAACTTTCGTAAAAAAATATAAAAATTGAGATAAATGCATCAGAAGATAGTTTGTAGTTTGGTCTTCTATAAATGACACGATTTTTTATTTTGGCACTACATTTTTTCCAAAAACTTTCCATCATTTTCTGCTTGAAAAATATGTTTTTTTTTCAGAAAAAATGCAAAATCTTTTTTTATTTTTTCTCTCTTTATGTGTTTTTGATCGTGCATTCCAGGATTCTCGCAGGTGTTTCATTACAGCCAATGACTACTTTTTGTTTGAAAAAAGTATGTGAATATCCAGGGCATGACAGAGCCGATTTTTTTGAATTAACCCTTGTTACTATTATATAGAAGAGTACTTTTATAACTAGAGTGTCATATTTTGAGAGTTTTTCGAGACATTACACTTGTCGTTTTTGTTCTCCTCTTAAAAAGTAAGAGTTTAGAAAAAAAAACGCTCTATCATGTCCCACATGCCGCCATGCTTTTCCAAACAAAAAAAATATTACGTATATAGAATGAAGATCCACAAAGAATTTTCGGCTCCCGAATGAGCTATTTTTGACCCTTGATAGTTGAATATCTCCCGAAAACATTATGGTATTAGGGTTGAAAATTTTATTATAACTTTCTAATAGGAAACGACGAAAAAATTGAAAAATGTTCTCTTGAAATAGTTGTAGAACTCGTCAAAAACTCAGTAGCCGATGTCAGAAGGTTTCATGAGCGATTACTACTGAAACAAGAAAAAAAAAATGAATGAAAACTATTTATAACAGATGATTTATTGTTAAATCTTTTGACATTGTATTACATTCATATTTATTTCTGTTTAATTTATTGCAAGTTTATCTGTAAATATCACATTGATAAATCCAATAGTCTAGTGGATTAATCATTGTTTTTGTAAAATAAATGATAGAAAGTTTAAAAAAAACACCTATGAAAACATTTCGAGGTATTAATTTACACACAAAATCTTTTATGAATAATATTAGATGAACATTTTTTTGCTACATAATATTACCTGCCATCGATTCTCATCTTATAAAAAATCAAGAGATAAATTTTAAATTATTTTAAAGCTAAAAGTTCTTCGGAAATCATATTTTCAGTTGAAAGTCTTAATCAAAGAAAGAAAAATACAAATTCATCAAAATTCTTAAATAACTTATTAACTAACAATTCAATTTAAAAAACAAAAGATCATTTATGTAATCTATTGTTTTTGAATGATATTTATTTCTTTATCTAAGATTTAATATCAATAGAGTTTCTTTATTTATTCTTCTTATGATTTTTGAATTAAACAAAAAGAATTTCAAGTTCTAGAACTAAATTAATAAGCCACGTTAAATTAGTCTACTTTGAGAAGAAGTTGAATTGGCAAAAATTTTCAAAATATTCTCTCGAGAAAAAATATTTTCACATGAAATAAAACTCACGTATCAATTATGATTTTTCTCATATATAATTCTTGTTTAAACATATATCTTCCAGATCTAATTTAAGATTTGAATGATTATAACCTTGTAATTTGTATAGTAATCAAAATCATATAAAACATAAATAGTATTACTCGTTATAAGAAGCGCCATCTACACACACACAAAAACAAAACAAGCATCTATCAAAGCTATTCAAATGATTCTAAGAATTAAATTTTATTTAATTGATATCTATGATTAATATAAAATTACTAAAATAAAAGAATAAGATTTCTTCTAAACACAAAAACAAAAGGAAATACATAAAGATATTTGAATCTTTTTTTTTTCTTCTTTATATTCCATATCACTAGTACAAGAATGTTAATATGTGAATGACCTAATTCACTTTCTATTTATCTCTATCATTATATGGTCAATAGCAACATTACTTCATTTCTCATAAATCAATATATATATATATATATGAACGGCTTCTCGTGTATCGCCAACACTTTTTTTTTCTCTTTCGTTCGCACATATTTCTACATAGAAAAGAGAAAAGACAATTGATCACCATCACATATCAATATCCATATAGCACATCACTACCGTATCTGTCAAAACATTTTACACTACAATTGCTATGCTATGTGAACTTTGCTAGTGGTAAAACGAATGACATGTTATAACAGGTGTGTGAGCAAGGAGCACAACTGTTCTTCCTTCTTCTTCTTCTTCTTCTTCTTCTTCTCCTCCTCTTTTTTCTCGTAGTATAAAGCAAGAGTAGAGAGTGAGAAAAAAAATCCGAGAGAGAGATTCATTTTGATTGGTTAATAAAAAAACGCTAATGCAAAAATTTCTTTCTTGCTATTTTTTTTTCTCTCTCTCTCTCTCTCTCCGTTATGTGTATGTTATTGGTCTTGTAGAGTGTGAACAAGCATAACCAGATGTATGTCTATACTTGACTCGTCGTCGGTATTGTAGACCAAACTCATTGATCCTAATCATCATCAAATTATAGATTGACATCATATATATAGAGAAGACAAAAAGGTAAAATAAAGAAAATAAAAATGAAAGTCAATCTTTTTGACATATATATATATATAGACTAATATTGAAGATCTCACAGGGTGGTGACGAGAACGAATAAAAATATGATCCATGACTTCGAACTGATGTTGTTTATTTGATGTTAGGTCACATGACCATGCTGTTTGTTTGGATAAGCGAATCTTCCTACTGATTTTCGTTTTTTTCCATAAAAAAAAAAACAAAACAAAATTTCGCTTCTTCTTTTTTTTTTTTCTCTAATGATTGTATGTTTAACATGGAAGAAAATTCAATATTTGACATAAGTTCAATTGACTTCAAATAAACATCAACCGGTGCCATACAATCATTATCAATTTTCTTTTCTTTTTTTTCTTCTTATTTGACATATGACAAGACATATTCGTGTGACTAAACGCTCATATACCTACACATAAAAAGAAATATGTTCTCTCATCTTAAAGAGTATGTATAAAAATTTGAGATAAAAAAAAAAAGTTTCCGGATATCCATCTTTCTTTCTCTTCATGTTCTTCTTTTTTTTTTTTTTGAAAAATGATCTTATACATCCGTTTATAGATCTATATGAGTCCAAAGAAAGTTTGTCTTGTTTCCCCCCCTCTCTCCTACAATTTCTTTAGTCTCAACTAATTGCTCAGACAAGTAGAAGAATGAATCTCTCGTATTACATCCGTCTAAAATGATAACACATACACAAAAAAAAAAAAAGAACTAGACATCCTCATTTTACATTGAAATTACCAAATAGACTTGTTATTTTCTAGAAAATAATGCCAACATTAGATAATATGTTGACAATATGTTATGGATGTCGTACATTGATCGATGATCGTTATTATTTAATGGCTGTTGATCGTAGTTGGCATTTATCTTGTTTAAAATGTTTTGATTGTGGTATGTCACTTGAACAAGAACGAACATGTTTTGCACGATATGGACAAATTTTTTGTAAAGATGATTATATAAAGTATGTTAGAATTTTTTTTTCTTTGTCTTTTAAAAATATATGTATTTTTTTATTTTTTTTATTGTTTTCTAGACGATATTGTTCTCGTGTTTGTGCACGATGTCATACAATTATTCGACAAGATGAAGTTATTCTACGTGCTAAACAATTTATTTTTCATTTAGATTGTTTTACATGTATTACTTGTAATCTTCTTCTTCATCCAGGTAGTCTAGAGTTTTTTTTTTTTTCTTCTATTAGAAATAAAAAAAGAAAAGAAAAAACAATTGAAATCTCATTTTTTTTTTCTTCTTTTATTTGGATATTAAAGGTGATGAATTTGGTTTAAAAGATGATTTAATTTTTTGTCGTCATCATTTTTTTTGAACAACAACAACAACAACAATCATCCTATGAATCACATTTAACAGGACGAGCCATGGATATTGGTATTGAAAATGGATCAATTTCTCATACAAATTCTGTTCCAACCGGTTTTCTTGATGATTCAGGTTATTATACATCACCAATCCCAACACTTATTCCATCAACACCATCAACAAATACAAGTACACAATCAGGAACAACAGTTAATATAACAAAACGTACACGAAAACGTAAAGAACGTCAACAACATCATGAAATAATACCATCATCAGATCATTTCTTAACTCTTTCACCATCTTCATCTAATATGGGTATATATATTAGGTTGTTTTTTTTTTTTCTCTTCAATGATTGACAGACATATTCATTGAAGTGAGAATATCTCTTGAAGAGCTTAAATACGGATTATAGACTGCTGTTCAATCGATTATTATACGGAGGGGTTGTGATACTTGAAAATTCATGTGCAATATAGAAATAGAATATGTTGAGTGACCACTTTTAAAATTTCGTTTTTTTTTTTTTTTTCTTAGTTGGAAATGAAGGAGCATTATTTACATCGTCGTTGGATACATCATATTATGTTGATGTTGTTGATATGGATGGAAATGGTACAAATAATAATAGTTTACATTCACATCAAACAAATAATAATTTATCAAGTGGATCTCATCATCATCATCATGGAAGACAAAAACGTGTACGAACAAGTTTTAAACATCATCAATTACGTTGTATGAGATCATATTTTAATTTAAATCATAATCCAGGTATGAAATTTCTTTTTTATTCAATATTAAATTAAAAATTGAAATTCTTTTGTTTTTAGATGCAAAAGATTTAAAAAATCTTGCTGAAAAAACAAATTTACCAAAACGTGTTTTACAAGTATGGTTTCAAAATGCACGTGCAAAATATCGTCGAAGTGTATCTCGAAGTGATACATTATCAACAGCATCTCAACATTCATCAATAGCACAACAACAACAGCAACAAGCTCAACAACAACAACAACAATCATCTCAAGTAAATCAATCATCATCTTTAACAATGACAAATATGATTGATATACATCCAACAAGAGAAGATACAACAAATTCATCAAATTTATCTTCACCAACTGAATCAATTCGTTCAAAAACATCATCGGTGAATTTTAGCGAATCGGAAACATATGGTTCCATGTAGTAGAGTATTGCTTTTTGTTCGTTTGTTTTTTTTTCTTTTTTTCATATTAATGTTTAGTTTGTATGTTGTATAGAAATCAAACAAAGCAAAAAAAAAAACTCCGTTGAAAAAAAAAAACAAAAGAACTTTTTTCTTCTAGTCATTAATGTGCAGCATATATTTGTGTCTATTTGAGCTTCAGCAAAAAACAAAACAAAGAAAAGAAAGAATATTTATGAATGTTGTTTTTTTTTCTCATCGATAAAAAGAACGAATAGAGTTTTTCTTATGTGTATAGACAATCAACAGTTGTGCTAGTAGTTCATGTTATTATTCTTGACAAATTAGCAGCATATATTTATCTTTACTATCCAAGTATTGACCTTTAAGTTTAGTGCAGGTGGAATGTCAATTTCTCAGTTACCCGCCCAGCAAGATCAAGAATAACAGAAAAGGTTTCTTCTCTTTCGTGTTTTTTTTTCCTCTCTCTTTCTCTCTCTCTCTCTCATATATTTATTCCAATGTCAATGTTTATTCATGGCGTCATAGTCTTTAATAATATTATTAGACTAGACTCGTTTATCACTTCAATGATAGTCAATACATACTCCTCCTCAGCTACCCCATTTAGATCATATTCAATTATTGTTCACGTTCCAGGACAAATAAAAACGGACAATCGATAGGAAAGATCGACTCTTCTTGTATTACTAATTATTATTTTGATGATCATCTGCATACAAAGTCCCGACATTGACACCTTTTCAATCAGGAGTATGATCAAGGTGATGACATAGCACCTAAATACAATTTCTCCAGAGAAACAAAAAGAAGAATCATTGACTCATCATCAAAGAATACCCAATAGTGTTCTTCTATTTCAATTGTTCTTAAATTTTCTAACTATTGACATAAACTAAGAAAATTCTATTTTTCTTTTTAAGTTGAGTTGCTCTTTTTTTTTTATACCTGACTCGTTTGCGTGTTCGCTTCTTCCTGCAATTAGTTCAATTAAAAAAGAGACAAAAAAAAAACGAATATGCCCACACACACGTGCCTTCAATCTAATAGGGTTACTCTCAACTTTCTACATATACAATAGTCTAGAAAAAGAAAACAACAGCAGTAGTGCCGTTGACAGTGAGCATGATCGTATAGCACAGCAGGAGACGGTATATGAAACTAGCATGCAATGCCAAGTAGAGGAGAGAAGATAAGTCGACAGGAAGATTATATTAAGATGAATGAACATGAAATATCGTCAGAACAAAAAAAAAAAAAAAAAAGAATGTTTTATATTTTTATTATATTGAAAAATTGATCAAATAAATGCGAAAAAACATAAATCCGCCCTAAAATAATTTCTTTTGAATAAATCTCGAAACATACATCCGTCGATGACAATGACCCACCCATTAATTGGCCTTTTCTATTGATATATAACAAAGGAAGTTCGATCTCCTCGTTTTTTTTTTTTGTCATACTTTAGTAAACGATAAGTATGCGTGTTTGAGTCTTTCTCTCTCTTTCTCCCTCGTGTTCTATTGATTCAACGCTTATCTTATCCACATCATCGCACATTGTGTCACATATTCATAAATCTGATTCGAATATGAATACTAACAACAAGCCTCAAACATATGGAAAAACAATAAAAAAAAAAAAAAAGAGAAATATTTGATCGATTGAACTCTGTTGGATTGCTTCTGTTTAATAATAAAGAAAAAAGAAAAAAAAATATCACAAAAGTGGGTACATAGAATAAGGCGGCATAAGATGATTAAATTCATGTGTATTTATAGTTGACGATGAATCACTATTTTGATTATTATCATAATCATCTAATTCATCAATAATTTCTTCATCTTCTGTTCTACTACGATCATTCGATGTTCCACTTGTTATATCATCGTCATTGATTAATTGTAAAAATTCATTTGTTGTTGAATTATTATTATCAATTGATGTTGATGCTTTTTGTTGTTTATTTTCTTGTTCTTGAATTAAACCTCGACGTAATTTAGCTCGAGCATTTTGAAACCAAACCTAAAAAAAAAAGAGAATTTTTTTCAAAAAAAAGAAAAACAAAAAACAAAATAAACTTGAACAATAACCTGAAGTACACGTTTACTT